GTTATATGGATGTGTGTACACGTGAGTGTGATTTGATTATTTTAATGTTTGATTGTATCATACTAATGGCTTTCCTATCTCGGTAAAAAATTTAAAGCATTTTTGAGTAACACATGCTGTATGTCTGTCTGGTGTCATCTTTTGATCCTGTGGGAAAACAACAGGGAAAGTTGTTTATAGATAACAACAAAATAATGAACATTACCAAGCAGGCAAAAAAAAAAAAGAAATGGTTGCTTGAGGATGAGACCTTCATTATAAACATCTAAACAATTCATTTTTTGTAAAAGGAAAAACAAAACAAAGCAGTTAATTATAGTGATAAATCAATTTATCATCATCATCATCATTCACTTTTTATACCAGTCATATTTGGTTGCTTTCACTGTAGAGCAAGTGACAGCTCCTCTTTTCAAAACTTCTGATGAACTTCTCCTCAGCACGGCTTCATGATTCACCCCTCCCCCACCTCCCGCCATTAAAATCTCGCTAAATGGTCCTCCACCCTACCAATAGATTCCATTTAGATTTTAATTCTCATAAATTCATTTATCTTGTTCAAAAATTACTTTTTTCTATATTGAGAAAAGAAAGACATGTTTAAATGCTGACTAATGTTCCTACATAACCTATTTTTCTAGTTTTTAAATTCTTTGGAACGTTTGGAAACAATGTACAACAGTTAATGGATTGCACAAGCAATAAAGAGCTGAATAAACTTCAAGTATGCTACTAAAATTTCCCTAACATTTTATAAAAGATCACATTGGGAAATTTGTATTAATATTATACTTGTTCCGGAATGCTATTGATAGTTTCCATTCCTCTTTTCAAGTGTTCTTTGTACAATCATATCTGTCATATCATCAATTCCTTTTGCTTGTCTCTTTTTTATTCAAGAATTGAAATCATTTTTTTGTGGTTATTTTATATTACATTTTTACACTCATTTTATATATACTATTTATATGTACTTTGTTTTTGTACTATTCACTTGATGTCTTTAAAATATTTTTCTATATTTAAATTTTTATCTTAAAATATTTTTTGAATACTTGAACCAAATATAAACATCTTTTCGTACAAAGCTTTGTCAATAAGACTTTCAAAGCCATGCTGTTTTGAAAAGTATTGTCTTGTTCCCAATTTAATTCTATTAAGTTTTTATAAGTACTAACTTGAAAAGAATTTAACTTTGATCACCACTTTTGCCTGTATTTGGTATAAAAACATCGACTCATAGTACATGAAAATAGATTTTATCCAAATAAGCCCAGTGCCAGATTAACCAGATTATTTTGATCTTTAATTGCCCCCTCACATAAAATTTGTTTCCATTCTCTCATGAATCCAGAAATTTCAAGAAAAGGGCCTTGTTTTTTTTTTTTTTTTTTTTTTTTTCTCTCCATGCTTTACAAGAATTGTTCTAGAGATGCTATGAAGGTGAATTACTGAGCATGGCACTCTGACAATCTAATGGGTCATGGGAAACATCCACATTGTCCACTATCTATATCAGGAATTGGTATTTTCAATTCCAACATTGGGCAAGCAAAAAATGTCTCTTTGATCATTTTATTTGGTTGGTTTGGTCTAATTTCCTTATCTTGCTTGTTTTGGTTTTTACACATTATTTCAGTTACACATTCTCGAGCCTTACTCAGGTGTCTATTTTATTCTGTCACTGGATCTTGTTCTGGAAGAACATGTATTCCCTCCTCTTATACATGTTACATCCAATGCCTACATGTGTGTGTTCTTGGGATTGTCTTTTCACCCCTGTGCACCAGCTGTATAGAAGGGGAAGCATGTCTCTCAAGGCAAGATTCAATAACATTCCAAAAGACAACTGACATCTAAGGAGGCCCAGAGAACAAAAACTTCAGAAAAGAAAAAAATTAAGGAAACTTCATTGATATGATTAAGCCTTCTAAATAATGAGCCTGTTTGTTTTCACCTATGATCTTTTGATAGTGTGTAAAATATGAGTTTCATCCTGTCCATAGATTCAAAAAAAAGTATATCTTCATGTATGATGTTTACTTGCAGTTTGTCTGATTATTTTTCTCTGTATGTATATTTGATATTTACTAAGTCTGGCACAAACCTGAAAATATGGAGCACCTACTGAGGACAGAACTAACTTCTATAATAATGGTTTGCAGTACCAGCTTGGTAACTAATTCTTCAAAGTTAAGGTGTCTGGAAATAAATAACTATTTTTGTTAGATGAGATCTTCATTCAAATACTGTTCCCTGTGTTCTATTTATCATTTATTGTTTTTTCCAAAAGGAAATAAAGGGCAATTAGCAAAAAAAATTGTTTTTTCTTTATAAATAGCAAAGTATCAAAGAAAAAGATTTTTTTGTAAATACATTTGACATGAACAATTCCTCTGAAATATTTCTTTTCTAAATGTTTTCTACACTTTGTCACAAAATAGAGTGGGGTGTGGGGGTGTGGGTAGATTCAAATTAAGAAGATTAAACCCTGACATTCAGTTCTTTTGGAATTATCAATGTTATTGCTCTTAGTATTGGCCAATAGACTAAATGCCATCAGCTAATTATTCAGTACTACTTTGGAATAATGGCACCAGCCTTTCATTCTAATCATCTTTACTGAAAACTTGTATCACCATATACTAGATATCTTTTACTGTTTACTATAAAGCAGTGGTTCCCAACCTTTTTGTTGGCCATGCCCAACCTAAGCATCTCTAAAATCCTGATTATTATCTTGTTATTCAAAAAGTGAACTCCTATTCACATGGAAGAAGTCTAAAAGGTCATTAACTTAACTTTCCTTGAGAATTTGAGACTACATAAATATGCAATAGTATTATCATTTATTTTTAGAATTTTACAATATTTATAAAAATATTGTGTTACTTAAGTAACACAATATTTTTATAAATATTGTAAAATTATATACACACACACACACACACACACCATATGTACTCGAGTATCATGTGTCTTTTGAGGTCCTAATTTTGAAGCTAATTTTAAGGGAGTCACATCATACACAAGATATAAAATTAGCATATGTACTGGCTACACTGTTGACCATTTATCCATTTAACTGTAGTCAAAAAGTACACCTGTATTTAAAATAAACATTGATTGAACCAGTCCTACTGTATGGATCAGAAACTTGTACATCATCTGTTCGTCTTGAAAAACAAATGGATGGAACATATACAAATCTACTTAGAAAAATCTAGAACATCAGTTGGAGATCCCATTCAACACTTTACAGAGAACTAAGGTTAATCTCTCTTAAGCTCAAACAAAAACAATTACAGTTTTCCAACCACTGCTACCAAGTGGACAGGGAAATCATTTCATCCTTACTTCTATGGCATCCTCCTGGAAGTGTCTTCTCTCAAAAATTGATTTTCCCAGACACCATAGCTCAGGATTCAGGCTTGGATCTGGGGACAGCAATGCAAGACTGAACAGTGTGGAGAGGGATTGTCAATGGAGTTCCAACCAACCCTAGGAAACGGTCAAATGAAAATAAACATGATTTTGATAAAATTGATGTTTTACTTAACTGTATCCAATAATAATGCATATAATATTCACATATTAGTATCATATTATAAAATACAAACATAGCGAATATGAATCTTTTCCATTGTTCATAAGATGTTTAACTATTTCTCATTCGGTTGTTTATGGTTGTACGTGTTTATGCAATGAGTATAGTATTGCTAACAATACTTTTATCATTCTCTCTTACTTTAACTTATTTAACGAGAAGATAGGATAAAGAGAAAGAGAGAGGAAAAGAGGTTAGTCTATTATAATTTGGTCTCTCAAAAAAGGAACTTGCATGACACATGAGATAAAATCATTTTTTATAAGTGAAAATTTGGAGGTTGCATGATACACGAGATCGCACATTACATGAGTATATGTGGTGTGTGTATATATATATATATATTTAGGCACCATTTTTTCATTCATACATGTTTCATTAAATAATATAGACAAGTGTTGTCTATTTATTTTATGTAAATTCTTTTCATAACATCTGATAAGCTTAATAATATTATCATTAAACAAGGAAAGAAAATCACAATATTGATACATATTTTTTAATCCAATCTAAGCTTACGTAAGCCATTATCAAAGATGACAATTACAGTGCAATATATTATGCAATACACGAACAAGAAAGTGATGATAGTCTGTTTCTGTTTACACGGATGATTTCCAAGCAACGATAAACACGTGCATATAAGACGCTGGAAGCGAAAATCGCACCGCAGCTCATAACGTCACACATGACTACGCAAGAGTGAATTCAAGAAGTATTAAGCATGGGAAGCCGTTGGTATAAACCAATGGCTTCTGTTACCAATTATAGGCATTTAAGGATATTTGTGGAGATTTCATAGTTTATTTTGTTCAGGTTAGGTTTCAACTGTTTTCTGTATATAGCTTCAAGAATTTTTAGCTTTTGTTTATTGTTTTCATGTTTAAATATAGTTGTCTTTTCTACAAGGATTTTACGGAATTGTGTATGCGGCCAGGTATGTTGTTTTAAATGCCTAAAAATGTTAGTTATCATTCAAATGTAGTGTCAAGCATCGTGAAAGCGAGTTTGTGGTGTGACCAACATAAATATTATTTAATTCATTGGAGATACAATCTCCCAAAGGGCACTTGAATTTGTAAACTATGTTGGTTTTGTATATGCATTGTATGTATTAACTCACACACTCACTAGAAAAAATTCACTGTTAATAACTCATTCTTGAATTGCCCCCAGTGGGACATGTGCCACACTTTTGGAACCACGGCTATAAAGCCTAGTATCACCATATACTAGATATATTTTACTGTTTACTATAAAACCTTTTGTGTGTCAAATCCATTCAGGTTGTTAACAATCATGGCTCTCCAATTTTATATCCTTTGTAGCTCTTCTTTTACTAAAGTGAAACATAATAAAATTTTATCCTATGTTTTGTGCCATATGTAATGACATGTTTTTATTTCTTTTGCAGAAAAAGCTCCCTGAGACTGGAGTTGGCCACACAATGCTAGAATCAGCATCCACATTGGGAACAGATTCTATATTAGGGCAAGTATCTGAAACAAATGTGCTTTACTTCCCAAAATCCATCCTTCAGACCCTGTTTCTTGCATTAATGATTAAAACTTGGAGTATTACATTGTTACATTAAAAAGAAAGGAACTCCCAGCTATGGCTTAATTAGTAGGACATGTATCAGTAAATCATTATTTTCTACACAAAATTTTTAAAATCTAAAAATATTCTCAGGCTTTAAATAACCTGCAAAAGAGATCCTGGGTATTACAATAAACTACATCTGTCAGTAGGGCCTCTGAGCAGAAGATTGGCGGTTTTGAAGTACATGGAACCACTTCTTAACTGCTGTTGTTCCAAGGATCACCCTGACTTTGACTAGTAGCACCTGTTAGGGTCCCAGCTATGAGCAAATAGTAAATCCTCAAACTAAAATTGAAGTACTAGGAAACTATAAAAAATACATTTTTTTTACAGTAAAAATACCAACAATACATTTAAAAACAAAACATAACCAGTAATAAATTAAAAGAAAAAGATCAATACATTTTTATAGTAAAATTGAAGTCCTCGCATACATTGTCAAAAAGAAAAAGTTAAAAAAACGAAAAGCAGTTTTGTAAGATTAATCTCATATCTTTTAAAGAGAAACAAGTTTTTGCTCCCTATTTGATGTTGTAAGATTATTTGGTTAAAAAATACAGCTAAGTAATTAAAATTTAATCCTGAAATAATGTCATTCTCCTGAATAAACATTTGAATTTTCATATTTTGATTTCAGCATTAAATAACCCATAGAGGTGTTGATATGCTGCTAAACAACCAAACCTGCAAAAGGTTGATAAGCCATAAAAAAAAAAAACAAATCATATTTATGAAGAAATATTTTTATGACTAGTATTACACAACAATTGATGTTTCTTTATTCTTCTCATCATTTCTAACTTTTCTTTCTTGGGAAATTAAGTTTGACTTGAGCCTAAACTATTCTAGATTTAAAGTTTAAATCAGAAATTTCACAGCTTTTCTAGCAAATTTTGTAACTGTTTATTTATTGTATAATGTAATGTTTTGTAAGGCTCCAGACTATTTTCACCATCGCAGAACTGTACCCAACCAAATTTTAAACTGTCCTAAAATAAAAATGTTTTAATTTTATCATTTGTTGTTGTTAGTAGCATAATAAAACACTATTAAAATGTTTACAAAATATATAAAATAAAAGCTAAAATATTACACCTTTTAAAAATGATTAAATACAAAATCAAATTAGTTAAATTTTATTGTAATTTTATAAAAATCATAACTATTTTTATTCAAACTCTTGGGTTAAATTAGCTTGATTAAATTTCATGAAAATGTTATTAATTTTCATGATCAGAGTAGCTTTTATCATACTGCAATCTATGCATTCATTTTCTATATAAATATTATATATTTCTATAAATATATATATATATATATATATATATATATATATATATATATATATATATATATATATATATAAAAACACATTCCAATTATTTGCAATCAAATTAGTTTTTAAAGTATTTACCAGAACATTTTCATTTACAATTACTTGGTTTGCATCATGGCTATAATTTCCATTATTTGGACTATTGTCCTCATCTTTGTTGCCATATTTATTACAACGTTTTGGCCATTGTACGCTCTGGCCTTCTTCAGGTGGTTGGAATGTCGAACTGAACCCTTTATTTTGCTCACTGGGGTAGACTGTTCTAGTTCCACGTGCCATGTTTTAATGGATGTCAGTTATCAGTTATCTCCTGTTAATTTCCAGTGAGCAAAATAAAGGGTTCAGTTTGACATTCCAACCACCTGAAAAATGCTGGAGCATACAATGGCCGAAACCTAATAAATATAATAAATAGTCCGAATAATGTAAATAATACCTCATCTCAGAAATGTAGACAGATACAAAAATTTCCATATTTGTTAATTTTTTTAATTTTCCTTGTATTTTCAATTTTGCAGAAAACATAATGCAAATGTTCTTTTGTTAATTATTGATGCAATTTTTTTTTTTTTTTTTAACTAAAAATTAACAAAAATATGTAATTTTCTTACTTTGTTTATTAAAACAAAATTAGTTCTTATAATTGGATTTTAGTGTTTTTAGAAATAATACAAATATCTAAGTCCTTTAACCTTCTTTTTTTTTTTTTCTTCTTTTTTTTTGACTTATGTTTGCTTGTTTCATGTGTATTCTTCATTTATTAAAAATCTGACAATATAATAAAATTTTAATTAAAAAAATTTTTTTGCAATCCCTTAAAATATCCGAAACTAATATTTTATCGTCCCTTGGGATGACATTAATTTCAATCCCTGTTTTATTTTTAGTATTTTCACTGTATTAAATAAATAGCAAAATACTAAATCTCTTATTAAAGCTGAGTGTTTGTTTGTTTTCTGTGTATGTGGAGAAAATTCAGAAAAGAATGATGGCGGAAGGGATTAGTTTTCTCCCTTACATGTTTCATGCAGAACAGGATGTTCTAAAACTTTAATAAAAAATTTTTCCAACCATATTTATTCAAAATTGTACTATTTAAAACAGCATAGGATGTAGGCTGGACAATCTTCCCACAGATGAAGAGAAAACTGGAAGCAACGGGTATGTAGTTCTACAGAAGGATACTGAGAATTCCATAGAATGAGTAAGCAACAAGGAAGTCTTAAAGAAAAAAGAACACATACTAAAAATCAGACAGAAACAGCTGAAATTCTTTGGACACATAATGAGGAAGGAGAGCTTGGAAAACTTAACCCTCATGGGGCATACCGTGGACAAGAGAGATGGGGGGGGAAAGCAGGGAACTACTACCTAAGTAGCTTATGTGAATGGATGGTGGAGCAGAGTATGGGAGGCTTGACAAAGAGAAAACACTCCTAGGGATCCACAAGTGATAGGAAGTTGTAGAGAGCTATGACTGTACACATTCTGAAGAAGAATTTTGCAAGAATTTTTATGTGCACCTCAATTTATTTCAGGGTTCCTGAGGAAAGTGCATACCAAACATTTCTGTCAAAGTTTTTAGAATTATTTCAGTTTGCATTGTCAGCAGTTATTGTCTGCTGATGTCTTCAGCCAGTTTTCTTATTCAAGAATAAATATTTAGGTGTTAGCATTTATTCTTTAATCTCATTTCTTTCCAGCCTGTGGCCAATACGTTCATAAGTGCCATGAAGCGTTAGTGAGATTTTTCTAAATATTATAAATATTTGCATTTGCTTGCTTAAGAACATTTTATTAATCATGAAAAAAATGTTTGGCATTTTTCTATTAGAAACTTGTAGTTTAATACTTGACTAATTTGAGAAAAAAATAAGTTCATTTTTTCTCTCTCTATGTGTATGTATGTATGTATTTGTGTGTGTATATATATATATATATATATATATATATATATATATATATATATATATAAGCATTTTTGAAAAAAATTAATTACATATTAGGCTTAAGTGTAGGTAATTTTTGTAAAAAAAAAAAAAAAACACACTCACATTGTGTGATTACCACATGAAGCCAACCTCATGCTTACATGTTAGCTTGTTTACACCAATAAAATATTATGGTACCTAACTACATAGTTTAACCCTTGAACAGCAGGCATCATCAATTGATGTTTCATTGAAGATCAACAGATCTCAGCATTTGATTTAAAACTTTTTCCAATGATTTGGGCATTATTGATGATTTGATTTTAAATGCCTAATAGGCCATTCTAGGATTTATAAGGTTACTATTTTCTAGGATTCGTGATATCACATAATTTCCTGGAATATGTGTCTACAAATAAAATTAAAAATCAAAAACAAACCAAAGAGAGCGTTATGTCTTTATGCATTCTTCTCGAAGAGAAAAAGAATCAAAAAATGTTGAAAACTTGGTGCAAAGAATACACAGAATGATTCAAGGAGTTTAAAAAAAAAAAAATTAAATTTAGGGACATAACATTTTTTATTCCCCTTTCATTATTTTTATAATCTGAAAGAGTTAAAATCTCATTTTTAAAGTTTTTATATATAATTAAAGTGAAGGTAAGTGTACAAGCTACTATTTTTTTTTTTTTTTTTTTTTTTTTTGTTAAAAATCAATTTTCTCGTTTATTTTTTACCCGTTTGGTATACATATTTGTGCAAACTTTTCCCCACCATTTTTAAGGATTAAGAAATTTTACAATTTTGGGCACAGCAGAGTAATGGATAGTGGCTTGGATTAAGGAATCGGAGAGCCAAGTTCAAATTCCAGTCAAATCCATTACATTCACTTACGTGCTACTACCCTTGGGAAAGATATGAACCCTCTTCTTCTCCCCCCAGCTATGGGTAAATAGCAGGACTGACCAGGTTCTATAGCCTTGGCAACTGGTCTACTGCAGAAAGAAATGGCAACCTACTGGGGGGAAAAAATCTGCCTCGTCAGTCATGTATTGAAAGATACATGATCACCTAAGCATGTATCACGCATGGCACATAACTGACTGACAATTTTGGACATGCAAAAGAGAATCTTATATTTATAGTAATTTTTCAATACCTTTGGGGAAAATCAAATAGATGGACTATCTTTTTATTGATAAAAAAAAAAATTAACAGCTTTTTATAGAAATGGCTTTATAGTCTTCCTCTCTCTGCCTTTTGCATGAAATTAAAGTGTAGTATCTGTTCTTGTTAGCTCAATGAAAAATTTACTGCAGTTAATTTCCTCGAGTGTTTGATCCAGAAAGTAACCCCCAGGAAATGTTAAATGAGTTTTTATTTATTGGGATATCATTACCTAAGCATTCTGCAGTATGTGCCCCATTGCTGCTTTCCTGAATGTTGTAATTTTAAACACAGTCAGGTATCAATATACACACGATCAATGGAAAGAAAGATCAACATCCTAAAGAAAACTTTCTGAAATCCCCTTTGAAGTTCACCAGATGTGACAGATGTCATATTGCAACTCAGACCAGACACCAGCTTCATTGACAGGGTGCAGTTTCTTCCATTCAAACATTTGTGGCTTAAAAATTACCCTTTGGCTAGATCGTTATCATGAGTGAAAAACAACAAAATTTCTAGCAATAAACCAGATTTGTATTGTAACCTACTGCTATAAGTGAGAAAAGTAGAGATGAAGTGCACAGTCCAATGGCTATCTATCCTGTCTGTTCTTCTATAACAAGGTAACTTGTTACTGGCAGATATCATAGTTTTTAAATTTCAAGGTGATTTGGAATGGATTGGTGTGTGTTGTTATAGCCCTTATTAATTTTCCCAGACAGGAATATTTGTCGAGAGGTCACGTGTGACCTCAAATTGGACAAGTCAGAGCATTTTTTATTCCGTTTCTGATGGAAATGTCAGCCGAATATGTTTTGGGCTTTTGGAGCAATGGCTCTGAATTAAATGGGATAAAATATGTTCCATATCCATTTTTGTGACCGGTCCAGCTGTTTTCAATTTAACAAGACCACAGCTGACTCATTGCTACATCAGGAAGAAATAAGCACAACATATTCTAGTGGATCAAATAAACAGTTCTGTTTATCATTGCTATTTTACTGAATGAGACAGGCCCCTGTTGAAGGTTATGAGAACATTATGGGATGGGCACCTGACAAAGGTTAAAATAGCATGATGGGATGAATACATAACAAAGGTTAGTGAAGCACAATGGTACCGGTTCCTAACAATGGAACAGGCATCTAATGAATGTTATGGAGTAATGATGATGGTTAAGGGTGGCCCAATGAGGACTGTGTACCCGATGAAGGTGAAGGATGGTCCAATAGGCTAGGTATTTAAGTCAACAAAGAAGAGGAAATTGGTGATAAAAAATTAATGTATGATAGCATCTGGTTTAAAAGTTTTACAGTTTCAGCATACTTTTTGGAATCTGGCAAATTAAATTTTGACATTTTTATTCATCAACATGAGGCCCATTTTTCTGTAATGTTTTCAAGACTTGCAAATGTAATGTTTTATTTAATTAAAATAATTTCTTTACTTAACATTCAATATTAAGGATAATGTGTTAAACTATTTTAATTAAAGAAAATTGTGGCAAGAAGTGGATAAGTTGTTAGAAATAAATATTATTCAGAAATGTCATTATTTATCATATCAGTAAAAATAATTTTAATAATTTTTAATTTTCTTTTTAATACCATGTCTCTTCAGGATGTAGTCAATCATAGCTGTCCACAAATTCTTTTTCTTTATTATCTGCAAATGACCATGGTTTCTTATATTCCCATTGTATTCTCCATGGTTTTGAATTCAGAGCATTAGTGTCGTTATCACCCAAGGCTAGTGAACTTAGTTCTCTAACACATTTTGAGAAGAAGAGATAGATTCATGCCTTTCCCAAAGGCATTTGTGTGACAGTAGACATAATAGACAAGACTGGAATTTGAATCTGTTAAGTCAAATTTAAATTATATTTTGATTTTAAAAATTAGGGATAAATATTACTGTCAAATAAAAAGCTTTAATATTCTTTGTACAAAAAAAATCTTAGTGTTATAAACTGCATTTGATTGCACAAGAATAAATAGAACAACAAAGTACTGCCAGTGAAGCAGAAAAAAAAAGCAAGATATGTTAAAACTCTTTGTATGGCTGATATACACTGCATGTCAAATTATCACCGTGCTGATAACAAATATGGCACCAGTTTGTTTACATTGTGCAGATCAGTACGAAAATTTCAGTAATTGCGCAGGTCAGGGTTGCCAACCTTGTGTGAAAATTTTGTGTGAATTGATTGGACGGTTTTTGAAATATTAGAAAAAATGTTATCTCGATAATAATTTGGCATGCAGTGTAGAGGATCAAGATGGAATATCTCTTTGTGGGTGAGGAAAGCAACCTAGAAGGTGGGGAGAGTTGGTAGGGCCTGGATTATATGCTGGTGCTGGGTCAGTTGACCAAAGTCACTTAGTGGTGACTTTAACAGTTTGCCTGCTTGTCTGTGACTGAACTTCAGTGTGTTGCCAGTAGCGACCTTTAAAGCAGTCAAGGTGGATGCATGACCTTTGCATTAGTGGCAATGTTCATGATTGGTTCCTTTTTGAATTTTATTTTATAGGGGTGAGGTTGTAAGCTAGATGTGATGCTTGGGACTCCTGCAGAGTTTTTTTTTTTTTTGTACCATTTACATCAGGCCAACAGGTTTTGATGTGGAATGAATATGAAAGAGATCTAATATGAAGCAGAGTATAACATTAGCAACATTCTTGGAACTGAAATGTCTTTGAAAACATAAGATATGAGGGATCTTTTTTTTAATTATTTATATACTTTTTAATGACTAGTTATGATACTTATCTGGATTTAAATTCATTGAAATCTTTAAACTGAAATTATACTTATCTACTTTCCTTATGTGAAATCTTTTCATTGAAGTCATTGATGATTTTTTTTTTCTGTACAGGGCTGTGTTCCATATGTGTGGGGAATGTCAAAATGGCCAAGCCAAGGAACTGTTGAATTATGAGTTAGAAGTTGAAAACACAGTTTTAAACCCAATGAACCTTATTCTTGAAGTAAGTTCTTGACTTTTTTTTTTCATCAAAATATTTCCCTTTTTATTAAGCATTTCTGCAGTTGATACATTCTTTTTAACTCTCTTTAGGAAGACCTTTTAGTTACTCTATATCTTAATGGGTATAAGATTAACTTAGATTGGCATGTAATCACTATAGTGAGGCACTCAGTGAGAATCAAGCTCACTACACTAGTACTATGTTCTAATTTCAAAAAGATGTAATTTCATGATGACAGACTAATAAAGTATCTTTTTATTATTCCATGTGGGAATTTTGAATATTTCATAAAATTTCCCTTTATTATTTTCTTTCTATTCTAGAATGATATCCCCACTATCATGAAATTAAGGAAAAACTTAAATAAATTAACACTCGACATGGATTCTGCCCGCAACAGGTCAGTTTATTTTTTATTCTAATTCTATTTCTAAGTATTCTAGTAGATGTTGATACCAGATTTGCTTATTTTCTTTTTTAATAATTCATTTTTTACATTATTTATATTTAGACTATAGTCCTCATCTCTGTTGCCTGTAGGTTACCCAGATCAATATACACATGAGGAATGCTGAAGGGCACAACAGCCAAAACATTGTGATAAAAACAACAAAGATAAGGACAATAATCTGAATGTAAAAAGTGTAAACAACTCCTCATCTCAGAAATTCAGACCAAAATTAATCATTCCTTTAAAAAGATTATGTATATATATTTATATATGAGGTGCATTCAAAGAGTATCCAACTTTATTTTTTCCCACCATGTGTGTAAAATGCTTTGAGTGGGAGGTGACGCCACCCTTCTTATGCATACATGAAAATTTTTGTACCAGTTGACTCTGTCAGTTCCCGTCTATTACACCTACAGATGTGTAGTGAGCACTCGTTGGATTTTTGTTTTCATACAAAATGACCGAACACATCAAGCAGAGATATTGCACCAAGTCTTCCTGGTCAAGAACAACAAATCACTTGTTCAACAGGCTTTCTACTCTCCTGAAATTCTTCCTCAAGTTGGTGGCAAAGCACCTTGGGGATGAACTCCACTGACATACTCTGCATGCACAAATCCTCTGTTAAAATTGAATGCGCTGACCCTATGTCTTTTCCTATCTCCTGTGTAATTTCCTGGATTGTTACACAACTGACTTCATGACTATTTGCCAAACCTTCTCAATCGGCTCCTTGTTTCAGCTTGTGGATAGCCTTCCTGAGTGTGCCTCACTCACCATTGAGATGTGGCCATGTTTGAAATGTTTGTACCACACCTTGATCTGAATTTTGCCTATGGCATCATCATCCCCAAAGGCCTGTTGAATCTTCTGATTGGTTTGAGCCTGAGTATTACCAAACTTTTTGCAAAACTTGATGCAATATCTCTGCTTGATGTGTTCAATCATCTTGTGTGAAAATGAAAATCTGACAAGCACACACTACACATCTATAATCTAGGTGTAATAGTTGAGAACTGATGTGGCCTGCTGGCACAAAAATATTCATGCATATGCAGGAACAGTGGTGTCACCTCTCACTCAAAGGATTTTTCATATACAGCATTAATTTGGGCTCAGATACTTTTTTAATGCACCTCATTGTTTAAAAATCTAATTATTGTTAAGAAATATTTAGAAAAAAATTTAAAAAACTTAATATTTACTGATGCTTTTTGGTGTCATGATTTTTAAATTTTATTTTTTTATAGAAAGGTTAACAGGATGAAAATAAAACAAAAACGACATTAAATCTTCTCTGGCCTATTCTAGATATTTTGAAAATATATAGCTTTTTGCTGCACACAAAGTGTTGAACGAGGTATGTCCAACACTTCACCAAAAAAACAGCATAGTATGAAGAAAAAAGGCCCCAAACTTGATAAAACAATTTTTTTAATGTCATAATGTTTATGTTAATATTAATATGAAAGACCAAAGTATTTTCTGAATATTTTTTCAGATTTTTTAATCCTTCCTATAATGTTAAAAATTTTATTTTAAATTTTTTTTTTTTTTTTTTTTTTTTAAGTCAATAAAATTTACATAAAATCGATCGTATCGGCCATTTTTTTCTGACTTTGTAAATAAAATCAAATTTAGCAGTTTAAAAAACATATAAAATTTAGTTACACCTTTTTCTAAAGTTATTTTAGGAAAATTAGAAAATTTAAAGTATAATGTAATTTGAAAGAAACATTACTTAGTTTTTTATCAGAAAATTTTTTAAGAGAGACATTTACAACCGTGGTGCTTGGTTTTGAGCCTGATTGACAGGTGTTAACTGATGTACATCAATCAATCAACAACTTATGTCAGGAGAATTTATTGGATGGTTGGACAGAAGTGACATAATTTGTGCTAATTTTAAGGGAACCTGGTTAGTAGATTTAAATTAAAAAAAAAATACACTTTCAAAAAATTTTTTACCTTACATTTGAGGGAGAATTCTGGAATAAAAATAACATTTAAACTATGAAAAAATATATTTATAATTCAAATTTTTTAAGACAAAAAGAGAGTATTATTTTAAAGTTTTGCATCCATATTTTTGTCAGAGACCATTTTTTAATACAATTTTGGAATTTTAAAAAAATTATTTTAAATAATCCTTGCAAGGCATATTTTAATAATCTTTCAAATTCATGATCTGTAAAAAGTAGATGAAATAATAAGTGCATTTCCAGTGAGTCACAGTAAGAAACTTAATTTTAAAATATATAGCAACTTTTTATCATATTATGTATTTAAAATTGAAAATAAGGAAAAGATTAATGTAAAAATTCATTTTTCATAAAAAAAAAAAACATTTTGGCTTCAGATTAAAATGACCTTAATATATATTATTCAGAAAAGCCATTAAAAGCTTTTTTAATTAAATATTGTCTTAGTTTTATTGGGTTTTGTATTACAATTGAGCTAAAAGTTTGGATAATATTGAACTTTTTTTTACCAAGTAAATCAATAATTTATATTCTTCAAAGTCTGGTGCATTTAATTTAAAAAAAAAAATAAACAGTAGAGTCACAGCTGAAAGTTTTCATAAAATTAAGTGAGTCAGGTAACAGATGTAAAAAAAATATTTTTACCATAACTTTTGCAAAAAAACAAACACTTCTAAAATAATTTCATTCATTTGTGAATAAGTCCTGAAGGTTTCATTAAAATCCGACAATTATTTGATTTTTGCAAGAATTTCCAAATCAATGTGTTTTTCAACTGAAAAAAAATTAATGCTAAATATTACATGACTGCTGACCTAAAAAAAAAAAACAAGATTTTCAACCTAAATTTCAAATGTACTGGAAAGGAATAAAAATTAAAAAATATCTTGGTCTTTCCTCTTGTTAATAAAATAAACTTTTTCATGATAAAAATTTGTTTTTATTAAGTTTGTGGCCTTTTTTCTTCATGCTATGCATTTTTTTATTTATTATTTTTTTTTGGGGGGGGCAAAAAGTTGGACATACCTAGTTGAACACTATGATAATCTTAATTTAAATAATTCAGAAACAATGTATTTCTCAATTTCTGCTCTCACCTTTATGCTTTTTATCCTCCTTCATATGTAATGGCATAAAAATTTATATACAGTCCAACCTCTTTAATCTGTCACTCTGGTCTGGCACTTTTTTTGAATATGGTTACCATTAGTTTGTTGAGCAGCTATGAAGGCAGCACCACACCTTGTTTACAACTTTCTGCAGCAGCAGTGTGTTTTGGTGATACGGTCTTGCTCATTTCTTATATATAGCTGTATATTTACCCACCCAAGAGAGCAGGATATGCAGATAGTGCTGGAAAAGAGGTCAGACTGTATTTCCAATATGAACATCTTGAAATTAAAAAAAAAATTAAATTTTCATTAATGGGATACATTTTATTAATAAATAAATAAATATTCAATTTAAAAAAAAAAAATCAAACAAAAGTAATAAAAACAAAAGAACACAAATATATACCTGAGAAGCTATTGACCATTTATCATTTCACTGTCTCAAATACGCAGTTTTATTTTATTATATATATGAAATGTAATTATATATGGTATATAATTTTTCCTATATCTAATTACATATACTATATAATTCCTATTATTTAATTACATATGTTATATAATTTTTACCATATCTAATTATATATGCTATATAATTATATGAATGAAGGTAAATATTAAATCATAAAAAAAAAAGGTTTTTTTTTTTTTTTTTTTTTTTTTCCTTTTCTGATTTTTCATGGAATACTGTTTTTTTTTTTTTTTTAATCTTTCTTCAGATGGACAACTGCAGTCCGCCAGTCACAGATGAACAGCACAAATATGGCCGCAGCTTCCTATAAAGCTGATATCATCCGTGGAGAATTTGAGGATGCGTCCAATAAAGTGGACAATGCCAAAGTAAGCAACTTTTTTTTTCTTTTCTTTTTTTTTTTTTTTTAAGAAAATTACTTATTCACATATTTCTACATATGTAACTTCTCAGCAAAAAAAAAAAAAAAAACTTTTAGGACTGCTTCAGTTCCCCCCCTCCACTTTTCTTTTCCCACAATTTGCAAATTTTCTCCATATCTATTACTCTTTGTGAGTCTCTTACAAGTTTTGGTATTCAGTCCCTTTTTATCCTCTGTACATTTAATATTCTGAAATTTAGTCAAGCATCCATGATTTTTTAATGGCACTCTTTATAAACTTTCCATGTAAACTGTGGGTGATGATGATGTCTTCTGAGTCAGACTAAAATTTTTATTTTTTATGTATTTATTTGTATATTTTATTTATATATTATTTATTTGTATGTGTAACCAAAATAAGGATATGCAACAACCTCTAAACAAATAAGATTGTAAAAACGTTTTTTTTTGGGTTTTTTTCCCTCTTCAGGATATGCTGGCGACTGAGATGCTCAACTTTATTGCAAAGGAGAATGACCATTGTGAAAAACTAGTAGCAGTAAATAGTCATTTTCTATTCTTTTTATTGTTTACTATATATAAGGAGAAATACTTTGTTTATATTTTACAAAGCTGCTCGCCAATGAATGTATTTGTAAAATATTTTGTAAATTTCTATTTTACATGCATATTTAATATTCATTTTCTTGTACAAAGAAGTGCTAAAAGGTTCTCAGCCCAACCAAAAAACCCTTCCCCCCAAAATTCTGATATTTGATCATTCAGTCAGATTTTGGGAAGGAGTCCCTTGATTGCTGTTTTTTTTTTTTTTCTTTTTCCTAATATTGTAGATGAGTCAATATAAACTTAAAACTGTAATATAAAATAATAAAGTTATTATAACTTTATTATTTTATATTACAATTGTAAGTTTATATTGACTAATCTACAATATTAAAAAAAAAAAAACTAATAAAATGATCCCTTCACAAAATTCTGTATATAATTATGCATCTTCAATAATAATAAAAAGAAAAAATTGACCTGCCGGCTCTCACCACCACTCACCCAACTCCAGGTAGGTTTTGTATCCTATCAGCCCAGAAGCACCATTGCATATCGAGATTTTCTGTTAGTATAAGTAGTGAGATTGTATCTATTGTCATCTTGCTAGGCTCATCACATAGTTTATACTAGCTGGTATTCCTCAGCCATCACCCATCTGAGTACTGACCAGGCTCAACATTGCTTAACTTCAGTGATCAAATGAGAACTGATGTTTCAATGTGATATGGCCATAAGCACTAATTGAAATGATTATGTATTATTTTCCACCAGTGCTAGAAATCTGTGTTTGAGCCTGGTAAAAAGTCATAATTTTGATTGCTGATTTTCTAGGCAGACAATGCAGTTCATTGGCAAGATTGGTATAACAAAAATCCCTGCCCTCTAATTTCCTTCATTTAGCCTTGTATCTATACTAAGCTGTGCATATGCTTAGTCAGTATTGTAATAAGAAAAATTGCCTATTGATTTGGTTTAACTTGAACCTTTTGCTTAATTCCATTTGCCTTAATATACATTTTATTTTTTATTATTTTTTTTAAGAACATTTGTGATTCTAGCATTTTGTATTAAAGGCTTTTTTTTTTTCTTTTTTACATTTCCAAATATCAAAGTAATTATTAAATCCAATTCCATTTCCTCACTCTTTCTATCATTTCTTTAATATTCCCATTTCAGCTCATGACAGCTCAGGCAAACTACCATAAAAATGCCTTGGAAACAATTGATAGAGTGATACCAAAAGTAAAACAGTTAATAGGTAAGACACTGAACATTTGATTATTAAGCTTCTTTCTTTTTTCTTTTTTTTTTTTTTAATTTTTTTGTTGTGTATAACCTGTGATGATTCATTTTAGTATTGAATCATTGACTATATTTGCTTATTGAATATTGTATTCTGAATCATTGGTATCATCTGATACTGAAAACATCCACTAAAAGAATCATTAATAGTTTGTAATTACTTTTCTCTTTCTGATAATGCCTTAATGTATTTTGGCCAGTTTTTATTCAAATAACCTCAGTTGTAAAAGTTTTATAAGGAATTCCAAGACTTAATCATACAGCAGAAATATCACCAGGGTCATCTGATTCAAAATGTAAATTTTGAATACATTTCTTAATATAGACAATTAAAATTGAAAGCTACTCTCTTGTCCATTGTTACTTCATTCTTAACCAATACAAAGTCTACTGATAATTGAGAATAAAAAAGGATAAAGATATTTATCACTGAATACTAAGCAAAATAATATACTTGAGCATTTTATAATTATGTTAACATCTACTATGATTTTGTTGGTGATTGTCCAGAAGTGTAGCTTTTTATTTACATTATTACCAGATGCTCATAAAGGTGAGACACAAGAGGAAATATAAACAATGTATTTGTTTCCTTTTGAGGAAAATAACGGGTCACTTTAAGGTGGAAAAATATGGATATCTTCAAGAGCATTGGGTATGAAATGATCAGATGACCAATATATTTCCTATTTAAGTTAGATGCTAAGGTTTTATTGATCAAATTGTCCTCAGCATTCATAAATAAACACAAATTGTTACCAACAGAAAAATATAAATCTTTTAAGAGGTTCCAAGATTGGGCAGAGGCACCATCTACATGGATCTGGCAATTCTCATACTGTGATGGAAAAACCAACAAATATCAATGATATCATGCTGAGGTAGTGATCCCAAACCATGCCTGATTCCAGGATCATCATCTGACAAAGGCTTTGTTATGGATACTGCGATTATTTTGAGGGTGCAGAATGACTCAATACCACCAACTCAATGCTCACAACTCACCACCAGCCTCTACATAGAATAAGGATAACTGCTCCAAAATTTGTATGAATCCTTACATTGCACCTAGAGCCTTGGTTACAACACCAACATTTTATGTTGCTGTCTCTTTTATTAAACTTATCAAATACAAATATATGGCCTTCATGTGCAAATTTGACTAAGAATTTCAATTTTCAGTGGGATGAAAAGTTTGAAAATTAAACACCAGTTTTGAGTCAGTGGTGATGAAATGTGCCCTCCAGTTGTTTTGACATTAGTAATTGTACAAATTTATCTAATAGACTGAACAATGAATTTAAATATATACAGTTTATAAAATGAATATGGAGCTTGAATATTTCAACAGAATTCATTTAAAATTTTCAATCTATTATTAGATGAGTCATAAGTAATTTCCTTTTTTCTGTTTGTAAACTTTATTTTACAAAAAATAAAGTACAATTACATTTTATTCAATTATATTTTGTCCATTATTTGCAATGACTTGTTGTCACTTACCAAACAGCTCTTTGATAAATTTTGGGTAAAATTCCACAGGTTTTGATGTAAAAACATTTTTGACAAACTCTTGAATCTGGTTTTTATTAGAGAAAGTTTTGGCGTTAAAGCATTTTGTAGTGATCAAAAAAGTTAATCAGTTGATAGGTCAGGTGAATATGGCAGGTAGGGTATAATGGACCAACCAAGTTCCCAAATTTTTTTTTGTCATTCTTGCATTGGACAACATTTTTCCTTTAATCCATTATGTATGCTGCCACTGCCTTACAAAAACTAAAATATGTTGGTGTACTCCAAATTTATTCTTAACTGCCATGTATGATTAGTAGTTAAGGTGATATATTGGTCATTACAATTGGTTCACAGAAACAGAAATTATTTATGATTCAACCTAGTATTTATGATAGTATAATCTTGGGTGACTAAAATGAAAATGTAAGTAAAATTGAAGACCTAATAAATTTAAGGAATTAATGTAATTTTCTTTTGTTTTGACAACAGAACTTGTTCTTTGTGTTTTGCTTTTGTTGTTATCACAACATTTTGGCTTATCTGAGACAAAAAGAAAAAAAGATCAAATTCAATTGTCTGAAGATCACATGAAATGATAATGACTATTCTCAAAATTATAAACAATATAAAAAAAAAACTGTATGAATTTAATCAGTATTTTATGCATCAACTCATGTCAGATAAATTTATTTCAATATTTTAGCTTTTTTTTTTTTTTTTTTTTTTACCTAAACCTCGCTCAATACAAGGCCCAAGAGCCATACAGGGTAGAGGGTTACTGATATGAATGGAGAAGGAGGGAGGAGGAAGTGAAGATTACAAGGATATATTTTGTAATGTTAACAAATACTCATTGTCACTTTTGTAATGCCCATTGTAGTAGAGACTTTGTAATTGCAGTTACAACTATAGTAACACCATTGAACTATACTGGTGTCAGACACCATTGAATAACACTTGCACTAATAGTACTTGCTCGATAATACTCACTCAAAAAGTAACCACCGAATAGTGATCACTTAGACGCCACCCTAATTTCCATATATACATTTCCTTTACTATCACGTGATCTAATTATTCAAAATGGGATCACCTGTGTATGCTCTCTGGTGAGCAGTGTTCAAATTCCAGTGTCGGCAGCAACACTTTATTCCTACATAACACCTCCCCTTTGAGATGACTTCCCCTTCTGCTCAATAGTTAGAAATTCTATTGGCATTCTTTTACTTTTGCCATAATCCCTTGGTTTTAGCAATTTCTGATGGTGTGGGTATGTTAAATGTGTCATACAGAATTTCCATTGGTACTTCTTTTTGGAAACTTTTTAAATCAGTGAATCTACATTTTAACTGATTAGGGTGTGGCTTATGTTCCCACCTTTGTCCCTGTACCATTTATGTCATTTTGTCAATCCATTTTTTATAACGCCATCTTCCCAGAATTCCTTACCGCTCTGATACAAAATACCTTATCTCCAGGTTTGAAGTATCTACTTGCATTGTTATTTCTTGATGTTATTGTCTTGTGTTCTGGTAATAACTTATTGAAACTTGTAGTTTTTGTTGCTGCAACATTTGAACCATGATAGCTTTCAATTCTTCCATTCTGCTGTACTCTGCTGAATATTTTGCAGATTAATTTTTTCCTCATATAAATTAAACAAATCCTTGTGTAAGTTCAATGAATCCTCATATAAGTTCAACAACAATAATATATATAGCAATATAGCAGGTAGATAATGATTGACCCTAGACTTTAAGGGGTTAAGATTTGTAGTGCTTGGAGAAGCATTGACATGGAAGTCTATTCTACAAAGTAGTGTTCCTTGGAATGAAGCTTTTGGAGTGGAATGCAAAGGTGTGGTTGAGTCCTCAAATGCATAGACAAAGGGGGTGGTTCATCAAAAAGATGCTGCTCATTTTTGAGAGTTACATATTTACAGCATATGTCAGATAGAGCATCCAAATTAGTTTCCTGCTAATAGATTATTTTTATGCAGTAAACATATTCATTTATGTTATAGGAATGTCAGTATTACTCTTTGAAAATTGCTGATTGTTTTTTTTTTTTTTAACAACCTTAAAATTGCCTATTTTCATGCCATCAGCAGTCTAGTTAGGAAGTTTAAGAAAATTTTAATATTTTTACCACATATTCTTCCAATATGTGGTAAAAATATTAAAATTTTCTTGTCTGACAATCATGTGATACAAGTTTTGTTTGTTAACTTTTTTTTAATATTTCTGTTAATTTTTTTGATCTCCTGGTGGTAAATAAAACTTCTTTGTCTAAATGTGTGAGTATGCACACACACACACACACACACACACACACACATATATATTGTATATTTAGGCATGTCTGATTAAATAAATTACAAACATCATGTCTGCTTATTTTTAGCATAATCCTTTCATATTCACAAATATTTTTCCGTGTATTATAATCAAATGAAGCAAGAAATGCACTGAAACAGTGAAAATCACTTTTATTTTCAAAGTACTTTCCATCTCTTTCCGAGATCATCTTCAGGGGTGCAACTGGTAAGGCAAAAAACTATGTGTAGCTATCCATTACTGAATTTTTCTTCTTTTTGCATTTAAATGCAACAGCTGATAGTTATGCTTTTAGCGTTCAGCAGAACATGAAAAAATTATCTTTTATGGAATTTTTTCTTTTATGTTGGAATGTCATGGTCAGGCACACATTAAAGCATGAAAACTGTTCTTTTTATAGGCATTTTAGAATATTATTACAGTATTCATAGCTGATTCTATTCAGTGTCAGCTTCAATTTTTTATGTAGATTGCTTCAAGGATAGAGTAAGACATCTTGTAGTTGTCATATATCCCATATAGATATTTGTTTTTCTATTGGAGATACATTCTCCCAAGGGACATTTGAATTGATATATAATGTTGGTTTTATGTAATACATCAGTTGGTGAGGAGGAGTTATTGCAAATAATTAAATTGGTTGTATTGTATTTTGTATAATATATGATTAATTTTATTTTTTTATTGGGATCCATGGGAGATATATTGGTACGAATGAAGTTTTTTTTTATGATTTTTCTCATCTTGTTTATAGTTAGCATGCATCTGGTTACAATATAAGAGTTTTAGGGTCTTTTGAGGAAGTACCATGTTCTATTTGATGTGTGTTGAGGTTTTTGATAAATATTCTTATTTGTTCATCTACAATTTTGATTGGGAAGTCATTATTAATGAGTCTGCTTAATATTTTTTTAGTTCAGTGTAAAAAATCTTTTTTGTGGAGGAATTAATTTGTGCTCAATAAATTAAATTTTGTATATGTGCTATTTTCTAGTAATTAGAACCTTCAATTTGTTTAAACCTTAATTTAAGAATATACAATGTGGCTTTTTATTCCATTGTTACCAAATATAAAAATGTAGCCAGCATTGCTATGAACTTAGTATCGAGTAAATACTACTTGTTTCCAATTTAACACCTTTGTAGCCAAATAATGCTGTAACAGCCTGTGTCACTTCCACCTATTTTGACCTGACTTTCCGAACTGAAACACAGATCCCTGACTCTGAACCAAACTGAAGTGACCCTCTAGTAATTATTAAAGTAGTTTTCATTCATTTGCTTGAGACTATGTTAGCCCTGCTTAAATGTTTTTACTTGTTTGTATAAGTTCTCTAACATTTTTTTTTCTTACTCTCTTGTAGACAGTAATCCTGCGAAGCCTGTGTATGGTGTTCCACTCAAGGAACATTTAAGAGTGACTGAGAGAACTGTGGCCCTTGTTATTGAAGCTTGTGTTTGTACCTTACTTGATGCTGGTTTAGAAGAAGAGGTAAAAAAAAAAAATTGACATTGTTTATCTACATAATAGACTAAAATAGAACAAATGTTATAGATACTAAATTGAATGCAGTACAGTCAGAAGTGCAGAAAGTTCATTTGAGGACTACCAATAGCAGCAACAACTAAAGTGGATATCACATGTAACTGGAAGAGAAAATAACATAATCAAGATGTTGGCATTTGATTTGTTTGCTTAACTGTGTATCAGCTCCTTATGGGTTGTTTAATGCCGAAATTTAATTTTCTTGGGAGCTTTGAAATAATAAAAATATATGTTATTCTGCTTTCACAATTGAATACATGGTAGATGATACTCAGCTTTTGTGCATATACGTGTTGTTTTAGTTTATCATCATACACAGGACAAGATGTTGACATTCCACACTACTTATAATAAAAGGTTAGAAAGGAAACCCCTATCAATACTGGAAAGAGTGATAACAGCTAGTGGACTTGAGAAACCTATTTTCCTGAAAAATTGCTTTAAGAGATTTTTATAAATTTCAACCAAAAGCAGTACTGGCAGCTTGGTCAATGAATTCCAGATTTTTCCTTATAAGGAAACTGTTAATATTACCATACTCATGTTTCAAGTGTCTTGAAAATCAGTGTTTAAAACCTTGACATATTTAACTGGGTTTGAACATTGATCAATATTGCCATTACTTATAATACAATTATCTTGAAAATAACAAAATAAACATAAAGTGAATAAAAAAAATATCTACATGTAAATATATTCTAAGATTAGTTTTGTTTGATACAAGACTAAATGAAATGAATAGAGAAGAGGAGGATTGTGTTGATGCTTTTTAAGTGGCAAATGTTTGCTTACTTTGAAGATCAGCCTTCATAATCCTGGAATTTTAACTTAGCCTGAACATAAATGCCAGTGGAAAATGTCCAACTATCTCAGCCATCAAGTAAACAATTTTTTTTTTTTTTTTTTGTAATATTTAATATGGAAGTCACTGTTTCAATTAACTGCAAAGGAGAGTTTCATTAAGAGGTTGAATTTAATTTATCCCATTGAACCTGTTTATATAAGCAGAATAAATTCATTCATATCTGAATGTAACAAACATTCACGTGTTTTATATTCTGCATATAACCACAGCCCACCAATGTTTGTATAGTCTTTGGGCAATATTTGTATGGCTTACAACCACGTCAAATTGAAACACTGGTCCCATATCATCACTGAAGTTAAGCAATGTTGAGCCTGGTCAGTATCATGATAGATAACCACTTGATGAATACCAGGTGGTGTTAGCTTGCCTGTGGTGTAATGGAATTGTAAATCGGAGAGCCAAGTTCTAATTCCTGTCTGGTTTGTTATATTCATTTATACACAAATACTCTTGGGAAAAGTCTGAATCTACTGCTTCTCTTCTCTAGCTATGGGTTAATTAGTAAAACTTGTATCACTAAACCTTTATTGCAAAAAAAAAAAATTCTTACAATATAAAAATATTTTCTGGCTTTAGTCATAAAAAACAAATCAATATTGTATTGTTTCTATTTTAGAAAAATACAGAGGAAATCGCTTTTAGTTTAATTCTTTATACCAACTTCATTTAACTGAATATTTTTTTTGTGTTATGATTGTCTTATCCTGTGAATATCTTGGGAAATATGGTTTATTTTACTCTTTCAGGGTTTATTTAGAATAGCTGGAATGGCTTCAAAAGTAAAGAAATTAAAGGTAAGTCATTTTACCTTGTGTAGTCATACTTGAGAATGTGTAAAGGTATGGATTAGTTTGTTTTTTAGACATTGGTTGCAGTAAAAGGAAGCAGATAAAAGAAAACTGTTATTCCTATCTTAAGAATTCTGTTTAATTTCATGGAAATTTAATTTCCTGGAAATAAATGACTATAAAGATGCTGACAGTGATTTTTCACGGGTGCCATCATTTTGGATTCAATTGGATACTCTCAATTGCAAACTAAGTTAAATGGACCCACTCACAAGACAATAAAAGTATATCCTAACATTGTATGCTCCTCTTTGCCTGAATTGTTTTGGGAATAACACTAAGCACTAGTTAGTTTATAACACAAACACTGGGAACCAACATTTCTCTCTCGCTATCAACCTCACCTTATTTAAAAGCAGGAATGGAGTGTTGAAAGTTTTTTGTTTTTTTAAATACAAAGATGCTCACTCAAATTCTATCTGTGCTCACCGTGTGAAGGCTTGGAATAAATGCACAAGACAAAAATAAAATACCCCTTAAACAGTCAAAACATGAAGAGAAATTAACATCACCTAAAACAAATCCCCCTCGAAAATGACTAAAGAAGTGAATGAAAGCACTTGGGACAATCGACAATTTTTGCACTCCTTGAACCCACCAAACTAAAAGCTGCAAGAATGAAAAACTAAATAAAAAAAAATTAATGAAATTTACCTTCTCTGTATTTAACAAAAGATGCTTAAAGGAAAGCTTGCTGAACAAATAATTACAAACTTATCTCCATATGACTATATATTCCATATACATATATAATCACACAAACACACACACACAATATATAGTCATATGGAGATAAGTTTGTGTGTCAACAGCAGTCTGTCAGTTTCTTAAAGATTCATAACTAAATCAAGAGTAATAGGAAGTCTTAAAAAACTTTCAAATAAATGACTTTTTTGAGGAGAAAAAAATGTTAGTTTCTGGCATATTGAGTTTATTTTAAAATAACTTGATTCAATCCAACATCAAATTCCAGGTTTAAATTTTGAGTCCTTTAATTCCAACCCTTTGACCTTGGTTATATTTGGAAAGTGGTCACTTTACAAGGAAGTTTACAGCTTAGCCAAGAAGAATGACCTCTGAACTCAATAATGAAAATACTTTTTGTACATATTCACGTCAACATTCAACATGCTTACACATAATTTATTAAGTTTCTTTAAAACTTACAAATTTCATATTTGGTTATTAAAATACTAATTTTAAGAAATGGATTAGGCCAAGAACTTTTCAGCACTTCCTTTATACAATAAATTTTAAAATTTGTGAAGTACATTAACTTATAACCCTTCAAAGCTGTTTGTTCAGAAAATAAGCAAAAAAAAATTTTTTTTTTTTAACGTGTTCCTTTTTTCACCTTTTTTTTCTTTTTTACTTTTTTTTACTTTTACTTTTTTTAAAACTTTTTTACTTTTTTTAAAACTTTTTTTTACTTTTTTAAAACTTTTTTTTTACTTTTTTAAAAAAACTTTTTTTTACTTTTTTTTAAACTTTTTTTACTTTTTTAAAAAAACTTCTTTTTTACTTTTTTTTTAAACTTTTTTTTACATTTTTAAACATTTTTTTTACTTTTTTTTTACTTTTTTAAACTTTTTTTACTTTTTTTTAAACTTTTTTACTTTTTTTAAACTTTTTTACTTTTTTTAAACTTTTTTACTTTTTTTACTTTTTTAAACTTTTTAAAACTTTTTTTTTACTTTTTTAAACTTTTTAAAACTTTTTTTTACTTTTTTAAACTTTTTTTACTTTTTTAAACTTTTTTTACTTTTTTTTTTAAATTTTTTAAACTTTTTTTAATTTTTTAAACTTTTTAAAAATTTTTTTTACTTATTTTTTTTTTTTTTAAATTACTTTTTTTTTGTATTTTTCATCTTTTTTTTTTTTTTTTTTTTTTGTCCTCATTCTATTTCAGGCTTCATTTGATGCTGGAATTGTAGATATGGAGGAATATGTAAATGATCTACATACTGTAGCAGGTAGGTTTCTATTTCCTACCTGCATAATTAGCTACCTACTTGTTCTGTAACTATTGCTGTAAAGAAAATGTATAAACATCTTATAAGTACCATGGCTTTTATTTAATATCTATTATAGAACTTAGGTACCAACTTAGTTGTTATGAGTAAAAAAAAAAAAAAAAATTGGTGGTGGAAAGTTATATTTATTTTTTTTTGTTTTAATGAAATCCGTTTACTTGATATTTTCACAAAACATTTGTAAATTATTTTAGTATAGCTTGATAGCTTGTTTTATTTAAGCAACACCTACAACAGTAAATTATATATAATGAACTCGGGATTTATATATCTTGATCAGCTTGCAGGTTATTTTTATGCTGATAGCTGATTTTTATCTTTTATGTTGAAAAATATAGTCAATCTTTTGCAATTTTCTTTTTTTTTTTTTTCTTAAATTTAACCAAAGAATGAATTTTAGGAAAGAACATAATATTCCAGTTGGAATTTATAATCTTTAGGATTTCATGTACATAGCTTATTGAATATTCTCCTGAGATTCACCTAATCAATAATAAACAGTATTTGTTTGTCTGTATGTTTGCATGGCTTAAATTCCTAAATTACAATAATTGGATCCTTAAAACAATATATATTCTCATTCAGCATGTCCCAAGAAAGGTTTTGATAAAAAATTTATTTCTCTACTCTTTAATCAAAGATATTTGTAACTTAAAACATGTAATAGTTACCATTAGAAAATATAACAAAAAATATGCTGATATTTTAACATTTCCAATTTAAACCCAATGTCATTCAATTATTTATTAAATAGTCTATACTTGTTCAATAAATCTTGATTTTTCTTCTTTTTTTTTTTTTTTAATTATTAATAAATTTAAAAACAAATGATAAAAAGCAAAAATTTACTTTAACAAAAAGTTTATTTACATACATAAACCCTATATCATTTAATTGCTTCTTTTTCTTTTTTCTTTTTTTAAATAGTGGCAAAAAATTAAATTGAAAATGAAGATTAAAAAAGTGCATAGACCATCCTTTAATAGAAGGTTTATTTATTTCAAAATTATATATTTCTGTGAAAGACAATAACCTCTCATTTCTTTCAGAAAGAGATTTTCACTTTTTATCCTTTAGTACAATATGAAAAACTGTTTTGTTGTATTTTGGCTTAGATAAAAAAAAAAAAAAAATTATTTATCAAAAGTGTCCTTGCAACCTGCTGAATTAGAATATATCAAGTTTAAGGATCTAAATATTCTACTTTTAGGCTGCATATGCGTACACACAAAAAATTTTGAACAGAGTTAACATTTCTCTTATTTATTTAAATATTTACAAATTATAATGAATATTTTTATCATAAATTATGTCAGGTTTAAATTATATTGTTGTTGTTCATCCTGGTATCACTTTGATATAATACAAGGACAATGCTGGATAACCTTGCTAGCCATTCATAATGGCTGCTACATTTTTATATATTATATATTTATGCATAAAGTATCACTTGAAAAAAAGATTGGAGACCATGAACTGATGTGCTTTGAAATTTTTGAACAGACAAGGAAGATGATTTATTTAAATACATAGTTTACAGTCAGGCCATGTTCAAAAAATATCAGTGTTTTTATATTCTTTTATATGTTTGACCATTTAGAAAACATAAGTCATTGCTGTATAAGGTTCAATCAATATTCAAGTCTTAAAACTGGGTACATGTTACCAACTCACATAATCAATTGGTAACAGTAAAAATAGTAGTTTTTCATGTAAATTTATGAGTGTTCATTTTCTGATAATATTGATTTATTCTTTTATTTTATTAATCCATATTCTCCTGACAGCAGTTTAAACTGACACCTTTTTTTACCTACATCTAAACTATAATTTTACAAGATGAAAATTTCACTGAAATCTGTTGGAAAATTTCCAAGTTTTTATCTGAAGTCAAGAAAATACAAACTATAAGCAAAATGATGGTAATATATGGAAAAAAGGTGTTGGCTTAAACTGACACCAAGAGGATATTGTTTCATAATTTGTATGTATGATTTTCTTTTTCTTTCTTTAGCCCATATACTTCTGACATCAGTTTAACACATACCTTCATTTTTCCAGATAGAATTGTAAACTCTAATTTTGGAAAGTAAAAATCTCATTGAAATATGTTGGAAAATTTCCAAGTTTTCATCTGAAATCATGAAAATACCAACTTTAAGCAAAAGTTTTTGAATATATAGAAAAAAGGGGGATATGGGTTAAATTCCTATCAACTATGATTTAGACATAGATTTCTTTCTGAAAAAAGATTGACGAGTTTTATTTCATTTTCTTTAAACTGCTTATATATTTATAATTATATAAATAATGTTTACTATGGAAATTGTGACCAAAGGCAAGTATCTGTACATACTTGATAAACACAGTTTTCAGAAGAACTAAAAAGAAAAGATTAACATTCTCATGAATGACAAAGATTTTCAGGTTATGAAAATTTTATTGTCAACAGATGAATTCTAAAATAGGCTAAATCAAAAGTCTTAAGTTGAACAAGAACTTCTCAAATGTAAATATTATGTTCTTAAAGTCATATTATATTATTGATGTGAATATTTTACCAATCTATATAAACTTCTTATGATGCAAATGTCTGTCTATTTATAGGTGCGTTGAAACAATATTTAAGAGAGCTGCCTGAACCACTGTTGACATTTGAATTGTACAAAGAATTTATGCAGTCAATGCAGCTGTAAGTCGTCTTTCCAAATTGTTTAAATGATTGGATTTATGTCATTCTCTTCTCTTTTGTGTTTAGTTTCTTGAGATTTTAATTTTATTAATCTGGAAATTTTGATGCAATGAAAATAATCCAATATTCTTTTAAGATCAGATATAAAATTTAATTTCATGTTGACCATTCTATCTATGCATTTGTCTCATAACTATTGGAAACTATATATATATATATATATATATATATATATATATATAGTTACTGAGATTTCGAAAAATGTTCATGAAAGTATGTTTCAGAAATAATTATTTTCAAAACGTACTTTCATGAACTTTATTCCAAGAGTCAATAACATAACTCTGTCAGGATTGCATACCCAAATTTATTACACACACACGCCAATGTATATAATCTAATCTTGTTTGTCCAGTATAAGATGCTCTTTTTTTTTTTTTTTTTTTTTTTTTTAGTTGATATATTGATTTGCTATAAAAACAAGTTTTTCTTGTTTTCTTAAAATAGTTGATAGAGTATCTGTTAAAACTTCTAAAGGGGGGAAAAAAGTAAACACTTTTTGGCATATTTTTTATCATCTTAAATTCAGTTGCTTTTTATTGCAACTTGTCATGTTGCAGTTGTTTGTACATAGCATGGATAAGAAACAATGTTTCAAGACTAAATTCAAATTCATATCCTTTTTTTATCATTAGAAAACTTGTATTAGCATACAATTTGCCTTGCCAAATGAGTCTATAGAATCTGACTGTTGCAGAAACCCAAATCTAGCCATAGAGTTTTCATTCTTTATTGCTCACCAACAGCACCTGATTTAAAACAATCTTTGATGTTTATTCACATGCTCTTGTAGTTGGAGTTACACAATCTTGAATTTATTAGATGAATGGTCATAGAATGACAGTCTGGGAGTTCTGATGTTAACACTACAGCTGATATAGAAGATGATAAATTTTATTGCAGTTTTGTGATTTTTTTTATGACCAGAAATGGAATCTATGGGGTGGAGTCAACAAAGTAGCCACCCAATAGACCAAAAGGGAATAAAATAATAATAAATTAAAACTTTTGAGATCACTTGGCACTTCACCATATGGAGATTTCCATTTGCAGTCTTACAGTCACAGTTGAGATTGAAAGTCATTCTGGACCACCTGTTGGCAGGGCTAAATTTGGGGTAGTTCTTATTATGCCTGTTAGAATTACCAGCCACATGTTAAGATGTAGAGATTGACAGAGAGGTGGTAGGAAAGAGTTCTTGCTAGTTGAAGAGAAGAGCTGTCATGGCAGAAGTTGTCCTAAGTGTCATATGCCTACACCATGATTCACTGATGTGAATCAGAGAATAAATGACCAAATTATTGAAAATGGGATTCATGTTATCATTTCTCACTGTGGTATTAACTTCACATTTTCATTCCCCTTGTGAATGTACGATGAATTTTTTCTCAGTTTCTATGCACATTGACACAAATGAGAATAGAGATGCAACATGGGGTTATGGTTTGGTCAGGGAAAAACTGGGAGACTGTTTCCTTGTATGTTTACACTGATTAAAAGCAACTGAAATTAAGATGAAAGAAATATAACTTTAATGAATAAGTGACAATGTTTAGTAAATATACTTGAAAATTTGGTAGTAATAAAAATAGTGATTTTGATCAGAATTTTTCAAATTAAATTAAATTTTTAGTTTTATTTAATTTGATAAATTATAAGTATTGGTAAATAATCTAAGTTTTTTTCATAAAAAACTGAGCTTATTCATTTTCTAATTTATATTAATTTAATTTTAAAACAAATGTTTAATTGCAATTTTCTTTTGTTGTAGTAATTTATTTAAACTCTCATTTTAATTCATTTTTCAGTCCACAAGAACAACGGTTAGCTGCACTAGCTGCATCTATAAATAAATTGCCAAAAGTGAATTATGACAATTTTAGGTGAGTTATTGCATTATTAACAAATGACATAATTTTGACATTTCTCTGTTCCAGTTGAGTTAGTTACATTAACTTATGCACAACTACCCATGAGAAAGGCATGAATCCATCTCTCTCTCCTAACTATAAGTTAAAGTGTAGGATTTGTATCTGGAAAAATCATGATCCAAAAAATTGTTAATTCACTAGCAAAAAGATTAAAAAAATCTTACAATCCAAAATATGTTTTAGCTTTAAATAACCCACAAAGGGTTGATAAGCCATTAAAAAAAAAAAACAAATCAATTAATCAACATTGACACTTCTTTTTCCTAACACACTTGCATCGTTTTAACTCCTTAAATGAAAGGAGGAAGTACTGATAGAAAATTTACATGTTAGAAAAAATCTTTGTAATGTTAATATTTTAAATTGTCTATTTGACAATACAACTGTTTTCAATGATAAAAATGGCTTCAATCCAATGAACCCTGTGGGTCTTAAAAGACGAATGTCCTTCATCAGACTGATGCTACAAAATCACAAAGAAATAACTTTACCAAATAACAAAAACCACATCACTTAAAGAGTTCCAACAGCAGCAACAGCTAAAATAGATAGCACCTTAACTTGAATAGAAAATGATCACATAATTAAGATGTTGATTTTCAACACAGCTTTAAACAAAAGGTTAGGAAGGAAACTCATCAATATGAGAAAGAGCAATAACAATGGATTTGAGAAACCTCTTCCCTGAAAAATTGTTTTAATAGAAAGATTCTAACATTTTGGTCAATGAATATTTAATGTTTCTGTATAAAGAAACAGTTTTTGTTTTTTGGTGGGGGGTATACTAATGTTCACCTAATACAATGTCCAACATCTACTCAGTGGATTATTGCATGATGTCATATGAATACGAGAAAGGGCAAGAAGTTCTTGGGGCCCTGGCAGGAAAGATAGACAGCTAACTCTAGACTTGAAGAGGTCAAGATTTAATTGGTGAATAACATTTCAGCTGAAGACGCTAAAAGTATAGATTTGAAGTAGACTTTAGAAAGAACCAGAAATCCAATCCTAAACAGGAAACAAGATGTGAAAGAAGAGTTCTATATCCCCTACCCTTCCTACAAGCCTAGATGAACTTAAGTAGAGAATGGGAGCTGGACTACCAACTTGACGTGTGTCGTGTCACAGGTGATGTGCATATTGAACATTTGTGAAGCTTTGTGAAATTGGTTATAAAATCTACACTCCTATCTAGCACTATTCACATAAGGTTAAGTTAATCAGGAACTACTCTGAGTCAAATAGTAGGGTAGACTGGGCTCTCTATCCCTGAATGGCAACCATTCTAAGAAAAAGTAAACTTTGAATTCCAGACCATGGAGAAGATAACAGAAAATCAATTTTTTTCATTAGAAGATTTGGTCAGTCCCAGATATTAAAAGGAATCTGAAGAGTTTGCTGTACAAAGAAATGTCTTTTACATATTGTTCACTGAAGGGACACAGCTTTAAAAAAAACCCAAAAAAACATCAATATAGTCACTTTTTTTTTTTTTTTTAAATGTGAAAATCAAATATATTTTAAAGTTCAGCTATTTCTTTTGTCATAATTAATCTTTTGCAAACATTTTATGCTCTTTGAGATGCCAGAATTGCGCACAACTTCATGCCAATTTCTCCTTTCTTATCTACAGGTATCTTGTGAAATTCTTGGCTAAACTGGCTAGCCATTCTGATGTAAATAAAATGACAGCAAGTAATATAGCAATTGTGATAGGACCCAATTTACTGTGGTCTCCAGGTGACAGTGCGTAAGTATCTGTTTTATAATCATGAAAAAGCTAGTAACAAGATTTTATACATTTTTTTTTTTTTCTAAACAAAGAAAATGATAATTTTATTTAATAATTAGAATGATACTGAGCTGAATATTTCAAATATAAATATTCCAGAGTGCATGGAATATTTTCTTAAGTATTGCTTCGAACTTCATAAAGTATCAAATGTCTATTTGGTTTATAATAAAATCACTGTTCCTTAAATAGTAGTTATATTTTGTCAATGCAATAAATTTATATTTGATATGAATTGACCAATAATTTGTCTAGATTAACAGAAAAACATACTCAATTCATATATTCCTGAATCTCTCCACTTTAAAATAGTATCACTTTTAAGAAAGAAAGAACTTGGTTTTTTTGTTTTGTTTTTTGTTTTTTAATATTAAAAATCATTTTTAATACAGGGTTACTGGGTTTTTTTCCACTTGATAGAACTGTTAAAAAAAAAAAAAAGTTATTTTACAGGACCTCTCAAAAATTTTTTTTTTTTTTTTTTTTTTGACATATAAAAATTTGACTCTCAAAATTACTCTGCAAAATTTAACCCACAAAATTCTTACCACTGCACAGTGAAAGTTGATCTATAAATCCTGATCTATGGTGTCCAGACACTAGGAAATATCTCTCAATTTTAATTTTCTATAACTTTATATATTAAGTTTAAACTTTGACCTATCAACTACTAAACAGAGTATATCTACAAGTCAAATGGTCAGAAACATTGTTTGCTGTACAAAAAAATGTCTTTTACATATTGTTTGCATAGCCTAAAACAAGCATTTCATTTATGGCTTGTGTTTTTAAAGAGGTTTGCATCTTGGAGAAATTGAGAACTTGGTTATGCAGATTTACTTGTAATTGGAAATCTCAGAAAGCGTGCTGTTAGATTACGATTGGGCCTTCTCACTTAATAGCAGTAAATGCTTCTAAGGGCAGATAACCAATAATGAACTACTGATTCTTATCAGTAAACTTGCATTTGAAGGAGTGTCCATAAATTTAGATAAGTTGTTTGCTTTTACAATTGCAAATCCTAGAAATATAATATTTTTATGAATACTTTAGGTATTTAAAATGTAAACAGAAAGACTAGTTTAATTTACCCACTCTTCATGATTGTATAGATACTAAAGCTTGGTTTTGATTTTTGTAGAGTAGGGGGATTTTTTTTTTTTTTTTTTTGATTTGTTTTGTTTCTTTTTGTTTTCAGAAATGTTTGATATTTAGATAAGTCATCAGTTTTTATTTAAGCAAAGTGGAAGATAAATTTAAATAACTTCATTTCTGATTTTTTTTTTTTTTTTTTTTCTGTCACAAATTTTGAATTAAAAACTTTTTTTTACTCTATATCATATTGCAAATATAATTAATTAAAAATTTTTGAGAGGATTGATGTTTAAAAACTTAGAAATATCAATAAATACATTGACAAGAATATAAAATGTAGTTAGAAAATCCACTGGATACTTGGAGTTAGTCCCAATATATTTTATGGCAATATTAAAGTATTGGTATATCTTTTGATGATTTGAAAAAATGTCCTACTGTAAATACATTTGTTGCCATAACACTGTCAGATTTTATGATGTAAAACTTTCCAACTTTGCTCCTAGAGGCCATAGCCCAATATATCATACCATTTTGGAATCAGGCCAACTCCATGAGCAAATTAAAAACATTCTGAATTGGATCTGGACCTGCAATCCTAAAATTTTGGATCTCCAAGTTTTCATTACCACAATTGTTTTCAGCGTTTTTTTATTTTATTTATTTATTTATTTATTTTTTTCCTTCCCCCAACAAATTTTTTGTACAATAACAATTTTTATAACTTGGAAATAAATTTGGGAATAATTGAAATTAATTGTGAAATCCAGCAAAAGTCATCCATGAAATAAAAATAATTGTTTGTACAGAAAGTAAGGACCTACATGCATCAAATTGTCTTTAAGTGTCAGCAGAAGAATTATTGTTGAACTTTTACAAAGGTAAGCTTAAATATTAATACAATACTTAAATGCAGAGATCAATTATGAGTTCTTCTGTAGTTTATTGTTGCCTATTGCAGCAGTATGCCTTGCAAAAAGAAATCTCCGCCAACAGAGGACCAGATTGCAATCAAAAGATCCAAGGCTGCAGTGAGGAAAAGAAAGTCCCATGCAAATGAAAACCCAGATCAAATGACAGAAGAGCTTCTAATCTTGAGAATATGAAAAGACTTATAGACTCTCAAACTCCTGAACAAACCAAAGGCGCAATCAAAAGCCCTCTGTAGCTTAATTGCTGCTCGATAGGGCAGCTTTTAAACTAGTTTTCTCATATGTGTTAGTATCAGTTAGTAGTAAATTAATTTTTATCATTGTATGTTCTTCTATTCATAATAATTCCACTGCATTTGTCCAAGGAGGTGCTGTGAGTTTCCTTTTATTTATTTATATATTTTTTTGTTCGGTTTCTTAATTCTTTTAAGTGTATTTCATACATTTGCTAATAAAATTGTGCTTTAAGTCAAAGTTATCTTGAAATCTACTGTTTCCTTATTTCAGTTTTTTGGGAGGGCTTTCAGAGATTTGTATCTTATTGTTGTGTTTCAGGCCCAACATGCTGACAACTGGCAACTTCAGTGCTATAATTGAGGTGATCATTAATAATGCTGACTACTTCTTCCCTGGCGGTAAGCAATACACCTCCTGTCTTATTTCTTTCGAAATTCTTCATGTTTATATCATTACTTGAGGTTTTTCAAATTTTATACTTAGCTCATGAAAATTTGTCATCTTGATTTTCTTTTTCAATATCTTTTCTCTCACTCTCTCATGTATATCTTAATTTTAGTTCCATGCACTTGTTCTGAATTTGAATTTAAGTCCATAAATGCTTAAATTAAAAATATTCTATTTTCTTTGTAATTTGGGGATCTTTTTGGATCACATTGAATTTCAATCCATTTTTTCTTGAAGGGAATCAATATGTTAGAAAAAGAGCAATATGGTGAATATTTCTGTTTATTGCTAATCTTTTATTATTATTATTTTTTAAATTACTTTTTCAATTGTACTGGAAAAATATAAAGCATAAGTTCTGTATGTTTAACCAAATTAAAATTGCATTTTACACTTGAGAATTTAAAAAATGCTAAAAGAATAAAATCAAGAATTCTCTAAATATATTAAAGAACTTGTAATATAAAATCAAAATATTGCATTAAAATTTCATAAAGAAATTTTTTTATCTTTTGAATAAAAGCTATGGAAAAGAAACAGAATACAAAAATATTCTATTGCATTCCCATGCTTGCTTCCAAGGAATCACATGCACATTTCTATATACATCTGCTTGGATAGCTATACTGCTTTTGTTTTTTAAAAAAATGCCACTTCAAATTTTATATATTTTGTGTTATTATTTAACAAAAACTTTGTTTTTAAATTTTACAAAAATATTGGAAACGTTTTTCAAAATTTTGATATTTCCTATTTACAAATTCTGATCTGAAAAGGATTTAAATAAAATATTATCGGAAAAAGTTCAAATCTTATAAGTTTATATATTTGCATTTTTATAATTATTTACTGAATCCCTATTTTAAAACTTGGTTGTGAAATATTGGTTGAAATTTAATACTTCAAAAGATTTTCTTGAAATATGCAATGGATACAATTAACTCTTAACAAATAATTTTTTTTTCCTTTCACCATGATTAATAAAAAAATTGATAAATGTTTTTTTTTTTTTTTTTTTAATAATTACAGAATTAATAATATAAATGTAGGGAGTTACTCTCCATTCTTGAATTTAAGACAAATATAACATGACCAATACATGTGTTTAAATATAATATTTAATAAAAAAAAAATTTTTTTTTTTAAAATGTTTCTTTTCTATTGTATTTTTATTGTATTTATTTTAATAGCTGTTTTAATAAAAAGTTGATTTAAAAAGACAAATTATTTTAAAACACAAATGTAGTTTTAAAATCTTTCTAAGTAATAAAAAAGAATGGACTTAAACAAATTTAATTTGAATTGTTTTCAGATCTCATCTTTTCTGACCTTTCAGCTCCCACCCAATAACCCTAGTTTTGTATCATTTTGTATTCAATGTTTACAATGTTCCTAGGCTCCAATCTGTGGATTTTTAATTCTTCTTAAATTTTTCATTTTTATTATTTCTTTACCTTTAATTTTGAAATTATTTATATAATTCATCCAGGTTTTCTCAACTGCTTCAGAGAGACATCTTTACATTTACACACACACACACACACACTTCCAACCATATTATCATTTATTTTGGAATGCTATATAATTTCCACCATTTTTATTTCAGAAATAATTTTCATTAAAACATTAATTTTGTTTTTCTGTTTTCAGTTTCTCATCTACTATTTTTAGTTTTTCATTTCAAGATTATTCATGAAGATATTTGAATCTTCATTCTGACATAATTTTAACTACACATGTTTACTGCTTCAATAAATATCAAATTTCAGTCTACATTCCTTTTGAAAGAAATGCAGATTTGTTAGTTACTCAGCTTAAATTTGAGCAGCTAAGTGTTCAACACAACCTGAGATGTTTCAGCTTATTGAATTTTTTTATATTTTTTTTTTTAAGAAAAATTTCTTTATATATATATATAATCACCATTTTTAAACCTTTAGTTTCTTTCCCTTCTTTATCTCTTTCCTTTCTCTTCTCTTTTCCATTCCTTTTTTCTCTCCTTTTCTCTATTTTTAACATGTGTATATGTAGCATTTATAGAAAAAAATAAATAAAACTTGCCAAATTTTGATATAAGTATTTTAATTACTACCTTTTGAATGTCCAATGTTTGTAAACAGCTTTAGAACGCAATACTGAAATACTGTTGTACTATTATCAATTTAATAAATAAGGTCTAAGTTAATCTTTTTTCTGAAAGATTACAAAAAACCCTTCCTGTTTTCAGCATTTGTTGCTATGTGGGTGGCTAGTTGTTCTAATAGGTATATGAATGGAATGCATCAAACGACCTTCTCAGCCACTGCCAGATAGCTCACAATAATTTCACTGAAAATAGGTAGTTATTACCATCCTGTTAAATTTTTTTTTTTTTTTTTTAACTCCCCTACTTAAAATTTTTGTCCAAGTAATTTTAGAATTGGTTTCTACAGCCCCCATTAATGCTATGAATATAATTAAAAATTTAAAGAGAATGATGCAAATAATTTCCAGACTTAAATTCTTTTATTGTACTCTCTTAGTTTTGGTCCCTACAGAATTTATCATTTCCCCATTTTCCATACTAATTAATTTACCATTTGTTGATAAACATTTTTCATTGTATTTGTTTCATGTGCAATTGAAAATAGAATAAAAAGTTAATGAACATTTTTACTTTTCTGGATATAATTTCTTTCTCTATTTAATCTTCCGTTTATATTTTAAACTTGAAATCTGCTTTTAAAATGATTTGGGATTTGAATTTAAGCTTGTTAAATCCATTTCCTGTTCTGGTGGAATGTTGTAGAAATTTGCTCAGAATGGTAAGAATGAAATCCAAAAAAATGTGATTGGTTCAAAAATAGAATTTCCTTTTTCTGCTTATTTCATTGAAAAAATGTAAAATAAAACTAAAAGCAAAACAACATGTATGATTTTAGCTTTATTTTCATATGTTTAATCTCTTTTTAGAGAATGTTATGTTTCCTTTTGATCCTAAAATTGATTCCATTTCTATAAAAAATTGTAAATCTAGAATTTTTCTTTTTAATTTATAAGTGTAAATATTTCTCTGATTTTATTAAAATAATTTACTTATGTAATTTAAATAATTTTAATTTTTTAAATTGTTTGCTGATACTATCCTTTTGTGTTGCTTCTAACTGGTTTTACTAGTAAAGCTTTAGTTATATCTGAAATTGTATCTCAAATACTAGCCATTTACCGATTATTGCAAATTGAAGAATTCTGATGTTTTGTGAAACATACAAATTCTTTTCTTTTTCTTTTTTTACTGTCTTCTCTTTTATAAATTCAATCAACATTTTTTTACTAAGTAAAAGCAATATCAGAATTTAGTTTAATGTTTGATTTAAAAAGGCTATTCTTTCTCTACATATATCTTTTTTTTCCCTGCAAACTGTTTTTCGTCTTTAAAACAGTTTTTCTCTTTCAAAATGCTCTGATTTAACTTAATTATTCATGATTGCTGATCAACATTTTCTTTCTGACATTCTTAGATGAAATCATTTCATCATTCTGTGTATTTTTTCAGACTATTGTCTTTTATCTTTCTTACATTTAACATACTATTTCTGCTGATGCACACTTCAGTCTTCATCAGATGTACATAGGTGCATCAATAACTAATAATGGAAAAAAGTATTTATTTGACACAACAAAATCTTTGTTAATGCACTTAATTTAGTGGTGAATACTAATCATAGATTGAATCTTATAGAGTGAAAATTTCAGATCAAGATTGAGGCTATGATATTATTGATCTACTTTTGTTTGTCACTAAAGACTAGATATATTTTCTCGACGAAGACTAAAGCATGTATTGACTGAAATTGAAACATAAGAAAGAAGACTAAGCTGAAAATATATTCAAAATGACAATTGGCCTTTTTTTTTTTTTTCTTATAATGAAATTTGTCATATTATTTAAAAAAGGTCAACAAAATTCTTAACAGCCTGAAAATGTCAAGTTTAAATAATATCATTTCAGAACATGTTTCAGCCATCTTTTTTATATTTCTTGCCTGAGTTTTTTTTTTTTATGAAGCATTTTAACTATTATTATTTTATTACTTGTTTTACTCTATCCTATTGTTGCTTTTCTATATTTTTAAAAGGAATTAATTGGTTCAACTCGAACAAAATCAGAAATCATAAAAAACTATCTTCCAATGAGTCTTGAACTGTCATCCCACGGCTTGAGAGGCAAAATGACTTTAGATCTGTGCTTCACTCAATTATAAGGCTTCCACATCTGATAAGATCTCTAGAGATGTGGGAATTCAAGTTTCTTTGGAGAAAGTTATTTCTGATTTAGCACTGTTTCCTCTAAGTGTATACATCCAGAGTGTTGTATAAAAAGCAACAATATGGAGAAAAATTTGTATTAAAATACTGAATCTTTTTTTTTATCTTATGATCTGTAAAATGTAAATGCACTATAAATGATATAAACATTATAAAAATAATAATTCATACACATTTTCTACAAGATCTTTAGCTCTTTGAATGATGTTATGGTAGTTGTTTTTATTTATTTTTTGTCTGCACACGTGTTTATTAACAGAAAATCTGAATATTTTGTTTTTTATCGTGTGTGAAGTTTCTTGTTTTCTGACGAAATAATTGCCTATAGGCTATAGTTTCTTTTCATAGCATTCTACGATTAGATTTAACTTATAACTGAATTAAGGTACCTAAGATAGTGTAATTTTTACCAACCTTGTTTTTCACCAGTTCATTAGCGTAGTAAATTCAAATCCTTACTGAATGCTCCATTTTAGTGGCCTTGCACCAGACTGAGTAAGGTTAGTAATAACCACATAAGTGTATTATACCAGTTCGTATTGTCTTTCATTTGTACACCTAAGAAAGGCACTTAAATTTTCTTAAAAATTTCAATAAAAAAATGTATACACACTTCAGGAAAGGAAAAACTTGTCTTTCATAG